GAAATGTCCTGGAAGGAAAAGTAAATCAGGTTCAGACTGTGAAAGGTATTTAATAAAGAAAAAAAAAGGTTAAGGAGTTTGAATTTTGACTGGTATACAAAGAGTTATAAGAGGTCAGGATCTAGGCATGGGCTAACAGAAATAATGCTTCAGTAGCAAATATAGAAGTTACATTGAACTGATAACTTATTTAATCAATAAACATTTATTATATTTCTGTTATTTGCCAAATACTGATAGTTCCATAAGCCAGAAACTTCCTACATACACCAAAATGTTTTTGTTGTGTTTGTGGGTCTGATATATTGTACTTCAGAGTGCTACATAAGGCTTACAGTGGTTTAAGGATTATTTCGAATGAGGACTAATTTTTCTAGGCTTTCATTGTATTTTAAAACAATGGTCATTCATGTATGCTTTTGCTGACACTAAGATGACTCAGAACATCTAACTTTGGCCAGATTAGACTAGATTGAAATGCTTTATCTATCTTTAGTTAGTTCTTTGTCAGTGAAGAACCAAAGATAATGCCAAGGTTCTAACTAGAAGGATTGTGTTGCCCTCAACAGAAACACAGAAGTTTGGAGTAATGATTGGTTTGGGGAGAAATGTACAATCTATTCTGACATTTTGTGTTTGACATGTTGATAAGACATTGAGTTCAAAACTTCCAATAGACAATTGTTTATGGATACTTGAATTCAGAAGAGATATTAAGGATAGATGCATAGATCTGGAAGTTATCTGCATAGAGAAAATAATTAAAATAAAAATAATTAAATACTTAAATTCACTGATTAGTGAATATGTAAGAAAAGGGAAGAGAGTATCCAGGAGGAAAAGGTGAAAAATAGTGTCACATACTTCAGAGATATCCAAAACATAATGGTTGAGAAAATGTCAATGTATTTGGCAAAGTAGATGTCATTGGTAATTTCAAAGGGAATGCTTTCAGTTTAGAGAGGAGTCAAGGAAAATCAGAAGTTTGAGAATTTGGGATGTTGGAAGGACGTTGTTGTCTTCTACCAAAATGGGGAATTTTAGTTGAGACATGCATTTCGGGGCAGGGGGAGACATAATATGACTGCCTTCCATCCATACCTGTTCATCCTATGCTACTCATTATTTCCTGTCAAAAATTGAATGGTGTGTGTGTATTTCTTGAGAGAAAAAGACTTATTGATCACTACCAAGGAGTACAGACTCCAATGTTGAGTGACAACAACTGACGCAGGGGCAGGAAATGGATAGGCAATTTTGCTTGTGTAGCTTTTATAAGTACCTGGTTCAGGCTTTGTTTTTTCTTTTTTTATTTTAGAAATGTAAAATTTGTATAGCACTTTATACTACTGAAATTATCTCCATATATTATCTCACTTATTTATTGAGATGCAAAAATTAAATAATCTCTATCTCTATTTTATAGGTGGGGCAAATCAGGTACCTAGAAAATGGATATAGAGTAGTTATCTAACATGCTTAAAATGACAAAGCAAAGCCTAATACGGAGCTAGGCCTAGAGTTCAAATCTCCAAATTGCTCTTCCTTGTTGTGACAACAGGCTATCACTATATTTCTGATCCTTGATCAATCAAGCAATCAATCAATCAATCAATCAACAAGTATTTGTTCAACACCTAGTATGTATCAGGCACTGTTCTAGGTTCTAGGGGTAAAAGACAAAAAACAAATTAAATGCTACCAATCCTTAAGTGTCTTCCATTTTAGGAAGCGGGGTTTTGGGGGAAGTTGGGAGTAGGCAAAATGTACATATATAAGTATATAAAAACTAATGCAATACCAAATGTATGCAACATAAGTACATGGTCACTTTTGGGGGGGTACTAAAAACTTGGGGAATCAGTGAAGGCCTCACATAGGAGGTAGTCTATTGAACAAAGCTTCAAAGGAAGCTAGGGATTCTAACAAGTAGAAAAGGAGTGCCTTCTGCATTCCATCCTCATAGTCTCTAGTTGTTAGTCATTTAAAGTTGCAGTAGCTCTTACTCTGCAGTGTGAGAAGATAAAATAGATGGAATTTCAATTAATAACACAGTTGCTCAGCTTCAGTATTTATTGTTTAGAGAGAAAAGCAGGTGGCTGACCTGCACTCTTTCACCAATTTTTTTCTTTCCACCTTTCACCCACTTCACAAAGGTTACTAGCATCCAACTAGCCAAATGAAAAGTATGGCTTGATTAAGGATCTCTTTTGTCAGTAATTTGTGCCTAATGTTTTTAGCTTTCCCACGGGCTGTTACAGAAAATGGTAAATCTGGTTTAAATGAAACCTGATACTGTTAATGGTTTAATAGCAGCTGCCACAGGGTTATGGCATTTTTCAACAGATGTTTCTCTTTCATTTTAAGCCTACACAAAGTCTTAGAATATATTTACATAAATAATATAAACTACACCTACGTATCAATGTCTATGTTTGTCATTCCAAATGTATTGTTAAGCAATTTCCCATTCTCACCCATGTCTAATTAAATACATACATATGATTGAACAGGACATTAAGGAGGCTATGCATTGAGGAAAATTATTCCTGTCATCTACTAGCCTTTGAAAAAAAAAGGCAGAGAAATTGACCACATCTCTGGAGTTGGTGAAATTGACTAGTACATGACCAATCAGTTCATGTCATTAATTTTCATGATCAAGACTGCTTCCTACAGATAGATTGACCCACACATTAAGGCCACTAAAATAAAGAGGTCATATGTACTTGTTTCCATTGTCTTTTAAAAGATTGGTATGTTTCTATTCTTTCTTTTGTAGCCTCTTATCAGCAAGGAGGCTGATGGGAAATATAATTTTTCCTAGCTTGAAGGAAGGCCTGATGGATAAAACCTAATATTTATATAACACTATGTGCCAGATACTATGCTAATTTCAATACTATGCTAATTTTAACTTTACAAACATTATGTCATTTGATCTTCACATGAAGTCTGGGAGGTAGGTACTATTATTACCCTCATTTTATAGTTGAGGAAACTTAGGTAAATGAGGTTAAGTGACTTGCTCAGGGTCACACAGCTATTAAGTGTCTGAGGTTGTACCTGAACTCAGGTCTTCCTAGCTCTAGGCCTGGTGCTCTATTCACTGTGTCACCTAGCTATAGAAACTGTCATGGTTGTGGGAAGCCTAGAAACTTAGGAGCTCTAAGGAGTAGAGAGTGTCTTGGGGGTTCAGTTATTTGCCAGAGCCAAGGGCCAGTCAATTTCAAGGGAAGGGCATTATTTACCACTGGATGAACATAATCACGATCCGTTAGAACCCTGTCTGGCTCACTGATCTACAGAAAGAGGGATCTGCCTTGGTAGAACTTTGCTGTTTCCCTAACTATTGCTGCTACTTGGACCTGGTGAATGTATCCTTTCTCCACTTCCTGTACTCCCCTCTCTTATCATTGTCCATGTAACTTGCATTATTTACCCTTCTGAGGGCTTCTCACTCTGTTGAAATTTTATATGCTGCCTGTATTTTTATCCTGGGTTTTGTTTCCATATAATGATAGTAATTTCATCCTAAGTGAGTGTTTGCTCTAAGAGAGTATATCATGCTATGGAAAAGACAAAATGGAAACCAACTGACCAATGGCCCTAGACTTAATAACAAGGATTTACTGAAACCCTTTTTTTCTCTCTCCAGAGACATTAAGGAAAGGCTTCATTTTCAATAAAGGCACCTTCGAGGAGAGATTTGTGGTCTTCCTCACATACAGGGTTGATTACTGTGGACTGGGATAGTCCAATAAAATTTCCCAAGCCTAATATATAGCTATTGGGTTAAAGGGTAGTTCTCTGCAATTCTTTTGTGTCTGTTCCTTTAACAGAGGCAAAGAAAGATGGTCAACTTTCAGCTGACTGGTTTTTTTCCTAGGTGTATTTTCATGGTCCTGTCCTTGTTCTTAACTGTTCCTAACTAGAGGGGAAATATATGTAAATTGGGATTAGACTTTGAAAGACACATCAGATAAATGGAAAAATGACAATGAAAGGGGAAAATATGGGAAGCGGAATACCTCCAGGGGTTACTATGAGCACCAGAAAATCTAAAGGTTGGAAAATTTAGTAGTTTTTCTTTAAAAATTGCTTAGCTTGTACTCTTTTTCCTTCCTTGGTTGTTCACTGAGATGGCATCATCATAGCACATTGTAGAAATTTGGCAATTGCCAGCTTCATTTTATCAATGTAGATTGCTTAGCTGGATAACTGACATAGGAAGGATTATCTGAAAAATGATCAAAATCTCTGCCTTATTCTGTATTGTTTATAGCAATGGGTCTCCAAGTGTGGTCTGGATAGTCATGGGCATCCTCAATATTTTTTCAGGGGTTCTCCACAGTCAAAATTATTTTCATAATAATATTAGGAGTTTTAATTTAGTATATATTACATACATATTGATAGACATTAGCCACATAAATTAAAATTCTTTGGGGAAGAGTATCCTCACTAATTTTTAAAATGTAAATGGATTCTAAAATAAAAAGTTTGAGAACTGTTAGTCTATTGCCGTGATTAAATAAATGAATAAAAAGCATTTATTAAGCACATACTATGTGCCAGGTAATATACTAAGGTGTAAATTTACAAATATAAAAATAAGAGTGTGCCTACCCTCAAGGATCTTACATTGTGGAAAAAAGTGCTATCAAGTGTTTTCTTTGGAGGAATACCTTCCTTCTATGACTACATTCAAAAGCTTTTCTTCATTATAAATTTTCTGGTATTAAGTCTTTCTGACAGAACATTCACTATATTTATAAGGTTTCTCTACAGTATGAATTTTCTGACATTAAATAACATATGAACTATGTGTAGAAGATCTTGTCATATCTATTAAGTTAATAATGTTTCAGTTTGCTCCAGTGAAAAATATTCTCACATTTTTTATGTTTATAAGGGCTGTAACTCGAATTATACTTACAGTTTTTTTTTCTGAAATGTTCTTACAAGTAGCTCATAAGCTTATCTTTTTCCTCCTCTAGGTTCTGCCTTCTAGTGAAGATGTGAAACCTGGCATGATTCTCCTGTTTGAATTCTTTCTCTGTGGTGGGACATATGTGTCTGTTGACCGGGTAGTAGGCTGGGGAGTTTTTCCTTTCTGTGACAATAACTTTGATATAGTGGAGGGAAAATTCAAATGTCCACTTCTTCGAGGTCATTATGACCAGAAACTTGAACACTTCAGGAAAATTGAGGAATTGATTTGTTCAATCTCGACCACTGGTTGTGCAATCTCTATTTTCAGGTTTGTAATCAGATTTTGTGAGTATCAAGAGAACTATGAAAATTCAGAGCTGTTTCTATGTGGCCTTCCACATGCTTTCATACCACAACAAATTTCAATGAGCAGCAACCTCTCTAATTATTAAAAATGGTTTTCACCAAAAAATCCATTTATTATAATTCAGGCTTAGTTTGTGCATGGGGGAAGTAAAGCTTTTTTAAATTTATAGAATGCCATCGACAGAGGTAACCTCAAAAACAATCTGTTACACATCTCCCTTTCACCCCTCCCTATTTGAAAAAATAAGATAATTCCTGCCCAGGGAGTAGTTTAGAGTCATATCAAAGGTTATATAGTTAGCTAGTGATAGAACTGGGACTAGAACCCAGCTTTCCCTGTATAAAGTAACATGATACCATGCTACTTCTCAAATTAGTTATGTATTCATATATATATATATATATATATGCACATATATATGTGTGTGTATATGTATATGTATGTATGCACACGTATATATGTATATATTATATATGTATGTGTGTATATATGTGTGTATGTATACATATACACACATATATATGTGTGTGTGTGTATATATATATATGTATATATATATATATATCGCAAGCTTAAACTCTGTTTAAGTTAACAAATACTGAATTCTAATCTTTCAATTTCTCCAAATTTATGATGTTTCTCAATTATAGAATAATCAATGAATTGAATTAACATGCCAGGATGGTCACTTTGATACTATACAAACACAGTTAAAGGTGTGCATTAACAATATAAATTGTAAATGTCAGTTGTTGTTATTATTAGTAGTAGTAGTAGTAATATGCAATAGGCACTCTTTTACACATTGTAGAATATAACAGAAAGCAAAACACGAAGCATCATAGAAACGTAGAATGTTTGAACTAGAAAAGATCCTAGAGATCATCTTTTCTCATACCTTAATTTTACAGATCCTATAGAAATGGGTATAGAGTTGAAATGATTTGTTCTAGATCACATGAGCTCTGCCTTCAAGGTCCTTCCTATTTAGTTAGTACATAAATACACACATAAGTAGCAACAATAGATGTTTTAGAGGCAGATTCTTTAAGAGAAACTTAGAACTATCTCTGGGCTTGTATACATAAATATACCGTTACCTGTGTCAAGAAGCCTGTTCTTTCTCCACTCTTTTCTGTTTCCTTCATTTGCTTACTAGCACATAATTTGAATAGATGAACTTGTCTTCCTGCTCACATAGACTATGTCCCTTAGCAGGGTGTCTTTAGAAACAAATAGATTTGTATCAATGACTTTGAAATTGAAGCAAGTATATTTGTATATGAAATGAAGAATTAGGAAGTAAAGAAAGGAGAAAGAATACCTAAGTAGCAAAATGAATAAACACCCAATTCTATAGAATAATTACATATTATTCTATATAATATATATCTATATAATATTATATATTGTCTACATTACACATAATATATTCTGTAATATAATATAATATATACATGGAATTATGCATAATTCTATATAATAATTATAGCTTCAAGGATGAGTGTGAACTTAGGATAAATCTATTTATGTTAGTGATTATAGAGCTGGAAGGGACCTTATAGGCCATGGTGTCCAACCACTGCATTTTCTGGATCTTTATCCAGGTCATGTTCACTAAATGTTCCTAAGGGATCTATCTTGGGATCTATCCTCTTCTCCCTTGATACTATCACATCTGATGATTTCAACAGCTGGTATAGCTTCAATCATCATCTCTATGCAGATGAGTCCTGGTTACATTTAACTGTAACCATTGCCTTTTGAACATCTCATGCTGATATCCCCAACAGAATTTATCCTCTTTTCCCCAAAACCTTTTCCTTCTCCAAACTTCCCTCTTACTGTTGAGGGTACTGCTATTCTTCAGTCACCCCCACTCACAACCTTGGTGTCATTGTTCCCTTATCTATCAGTGTTTCTGCCTTCACATCTCTCCTATAAATCCTTTCCCCTCTATTCACACAATTCCTATCCTGGTGTAGCCTCTCACCATCTCATTCCTGGACTTTTGTAGTAGGCTTGTAGCTGGTCTTCATGTCTCAATATCCCTCTCCCCTTACAATCCATCTTACATTCACTTACCAAAATGATTTTTCTAAAACATAGATTCAACTTCCTTACCCTGAGTCCCCACTGAATAATCTCTATTGGCTCCCTATTACCTTCTCATCAAATCTAAAATTCTCTGTTTGACATTTAAAACCTTTAATAATCTGATTCCTTCTTTCCTTTCCAATTCTCTCATCATTTAATCCTATCTATATATTCTAAAACACAGAACACTAAATTTTTTACTGTTTCTCAAATAGGAAACCATTAAATGTCAACTGGACTGAACCTCTTGGCCTGTGCAGGCCAGACTTAACAGACAGAGAAGACAAGAACAACTGTCAATTTTCCATAGCAAGGGAAATGGTTTGTAAAAGCAAGGAGGGAAACTAGTCACATGTGCTGAGGTGGGGGGACCCCACCATTACACCAATGGCTGTGTAGTGACTTGTAGCCCTGACAATGAAGGGTAACAGAAACAATGTGACAAGTTTGATTCATATCAGGTCTTCATGATCAGAACTTGTCTGACCTTGTCCCTTGCTTTTCCAAGTTCACAGAACACCTAGTGTTGGTGAAACAGAAATGTTATCTCCCAACTCCATGCCTTTCCACTCTTTGTCCCTTATGTCTAGAATGCTCTGCCTCCTCACCTCTAGATACAGGTGTACCTCTATTTGGCCTATCTGATTTCCATCAGAACTCAGCTAAAATAGCAGGAGGCTTTCCTAATCCCATCTCCCAAAATCTTCCCTCTACATTGTATATATCTCATTTGTATATAGCTTTTTCCTTTTTGTCTCCCCATTAGAATATGAGCTTGAGGGTAGAGAGTATACTTTTACTTTCTTTGTATCCCTAGTACTTATCAGAATGCCTGGCATATAGTAAGGGTTTATGAAATGCTTGTTGTGGGGCAGCTAGGTGGTGCAGTGGATAAAGCACTGGCCCTGGAATCACGAGGACCTGAGTTCAAATCCAGCCTCACACGCATAATACTCCCTAGCTGTGTGACTCTGGGCAAGTCACTTAATCCCAAATGCCTCACTAAAAAAAAAAAAAAGGAAATGCTTGTTGCCTGAGTGACCAATTGAATGACTAAGGCTGAGAGAAGTTAATTGACTTGTACAGAATCATGCAGCCCATGAGTGTCTGAGGCAGGATTTAAACTCGGTTCTTTCTGACTCCATGCCCTACACTTTATTTTCTATGCCATCTAACTGCCCTATCAATCAATTATTGCCCTATTGGAAATGGCTCTTTCCCACAATAATATTGGATCAAACAATCCACCATCTCATTGTTCTGTTCCTTAGCACTATTTTTATAGCATATGAAATTATTAGAGCCAGACATGGGTGTCAAGCAGGTTTGGCCTCTAGGTCAGATGCTATAATTCTCCATGTTATCTTTGGAATATCTAGTAAATCAGCTAGCATTTTTATCTTGGTACAAGTGACCAGACAAATTATGATAAGAGGTTTCTCTCAAATGTCTTGCTATGGCAGTCTGGTTTGGCTAGTTAGAAAGTGACTCTATCTCTAATGTATTTAACTTACCTATTACTTTCTTGATAGAATGTTGTTCCTATAAGTGCAGCTGTGTAGGGGAATGTCTCTCATAAATGAGTGCAAAAGAGATCATTAGGATGAAGTAACTTTTTAAAGAAAGCCATTGATGAGTTATGTGCAAATAAAGCAACATTTGTGGATTAAATTCCTTGATAAAACAGTGTGATAGAAACAGCATGCTGGGAAAATGGATTTAGGTCAACATTTTAAGAAAAGGCAAAAGACATCTGTGTTTTCCCACTATTAATTTCTGTTAATTGCAATTTAAAATTCACCTCACTGCAAGATGAAATGTGGAAAATGTACTACCTTACTGCAAAAGAGATAATTTATGTAATATTTCTATTAATTACAAAATGAATTCACTATTTAAGTAAAAATTAGACATGGTATAGTTATGTAGAATTTGATAATTTTTAAAGGCAGGATTTGAACTGGTTATTTGACAAGGAGTGTTGTTAAAATAAAGTTTGATTACATAATAGTTTATGCAACCAATATTTGAATGATTCTCTGGCAAATTCCTTCAGTAAGTTTCTGATTTACTTCATTTAGTCTTCCAAGTACTTTAAAAGAAATATCATTACTTGTTTCATCTGCCTAGAAGATTCCACTCCACGTATTCCTACATGATATAATCTAATTGCTGGAGAGGCCTCTGGTTGGATAAACTATACAAAAATATTTCCTCTCACCTTACGTTTCATGACTGGGAATTTTCCAACAATGAGAAGAGTATTACTAATATGCTTGAAGATTACATGAAAAGAATAATGAAATCATGGTGAAAAAAATACTATCAATCAGTAAATACTTCCTGTTACTTCAACAATTTTAAAAAACATGTTTTTTCTGTATCTTTGATTGCAGAATGTAACATTTAAAAATATTTATACACAGTAAACAACGAATATTTATTGATTTCATCCTATTTCACATAGTTACAGCTTCTTACACTCACACGCTCACACATGCAGATACATACACATATAGAGGCATTATATTATTTTGAAAAAAATGAAAAACCAGAAGACAAAATAGATGAACTTGAAAAATAAATGATATTTGAAACTATAACATAAAAGCTGTTGATATTTTTTAAAGAGCAGCAACAATAACAAAAGAATACATACCACAACCTCTTTTGTCATGCAATCAAACAAGAAAAGTATAAGATATAGAAAACTGAATTCATAATTGACATTTTGGATTTCATAAATTGTGTTATTATGGTACAGAGAAAAATTACTGTGTGAGTATGATATTTTAAACTGTTTAGATGACAGATTTATCTCTTAATAGATAATTAAACTTCCTCCATGTATGGATGATCAAAAAGAATACGAAAGACATCTACAGCTCTCTCCAGAATTTCCAACATGCTTAAAGACTGAGGGGAAGAAAGCTGCTTCAGACATGGAAAATAGATCTGACCTTCCAGAGAAAGAAAAAAAGAAAAATT